CCCGTGTTATAACCCCTTGTAACCTCTATGTAACCAAGTGTAACCTACAAATAAGTTCCGCGCTTCTGTTTTCATATATTAAGAATTATTAATAGATTACAAATAAGTTATAGAAGATTATATGGAGGTTACAATGGGTTATACCGCGGATATAACCCTGTTATACCCTCAGTATACAGAGTAATCGTACGCAGTGCTGCGTACGTCTATCGTACGCAAATTTTTTCCCAACCTTAGGGGTCTTACACCGAGGGTGCCAACTAACAGACCGTGACGTGATATATATATATATATATATGATAATTACCTTTGTAGGTCTCCCACGGGTAAATAATCCCATCTTTATTTCTATCAAAAAAACTAACGTGCTGCTGAAGCACACTCATATCATGGTGATCTCTTCCCTCAGTTCCATTTGGATGGCTCTGATCTACTGCGACCAATGCTCGAGCAATATCTACGACAAGGATTCAACTTAAGTATTAATTGCATTAAAACCAAAATAAGAAAGAAAAAAAAAGGGAAAAAAGAAGAGATATTTGCATACATACCTCTAAATTCCTATGTATTTACATATCTAACATCAAAACTTTACATTGTACCTTTATGCCACCCAATATCTCTCATATTACATAAAAATATATCTTTATTTTGACTTTTAAGAAAGGAAATATATATATATATTGAACTAGATTTGCATTGCGCATGTTCATGTCATTAATCACCTCCAAAAATTTCAGAAAAATTAACTATAATTATTTATGATACGAAATTATTATTCTGCAAAAAGAAGAAGAAGAAGAAGTGATTGGCTTACATGGCTTCGGAATCTGCTCCTGAAGGTGAAGATTAAGCTTCCGTTCACCGGTGATCGGAGCTCCAGGTGCGTATGTGGCTAAGGACGCATCGCTCGCCGTTGATGAATTATTGTCCATCGATTGCTTCTCTATCAAATTCTATACAAGAGAGGAAGAAGATCTGCTGAAGAAGCAATATATATAAGGGAAGCCTCAAAAGGCATTATATATATAGGGGGGTGGATTTCAATTAAATATCATTAAATATTTTGGAATAAACACACACACACACTTGACCCCCAATTATTGAACTAAGGTAAAATGACACTTTTGTAATGTGGTACCGCTCACCTATCACATCTTACCTACCGCTCAACTAACTCCCACCTACCACTCTCTTGCTTCTATAAATAGAGAGGGTGTGAGACTTATATATATAACACACTTTACGGGATCAAATCATTGAGAATTTGATAAAAATGAAAAATATGGGCGCTAATTCTCTACTTTAGCAATCTGAGCGAAGAAAAAAATGCAATTACGATATACCCAAAATGGTATTATTTGTAATAAAAAATATTTCTATCTTAAGAATATATGTTAATAATAATATTTTAAAAATAAACATAATATTGTTTTTTGCACAAAAGATTAAAAAATGACTACACGTGCACGCAACTCTTTGCGAGTTTGAGATCTTATATTTTTTTTTTTTTTTTGAAATTTGCATATATACCAAACAA